GTGAAATCGAGTCACACAGACACTGGCAGAACAAACAGTGAAATCGAGTCACACAGACACTGGCAGAACAAACAGTGAAACCAGGTCACACAGACACTGGCAGAACAAACAGTGAAATCAGGTCACACAGACACTGACTGAACAAACAGTGAAATTGAGTGACACCATTACTGACAGAGCAAACGTGAAATCGAGTCACACAGACACTGGCAGAACAAACAGTGAAATCAAGTCACACAGACACTGGCAGAACAAACAGTGAAATCGAGTGACACCATCACTGACAGAGCAAACATGAAACAGAACAGCTGAATCAAGTCACAGTTATATTAACTAACAGAAGAGTGAAATCACATCGAGACCGAGACTGTGAAATCGACACACACGACACCAACTAAGAAAAAACAGTGAAACTGAATCACAGTGATATTAACTGGCAGAGCAAGGAGTGAAATCAAATAACTGACATATTAACTGATAAAGAAAACAGTGAAATTAGACGACACCAACTGACAGACAAGCAGTGAAATCAAATAATGTGACACTAACTGACAGAAGAGGGTAATCAATTCACAGGTTTGTTGTGTTCGGAAAGAAAAGAGAACACACACCTATGAAGTTACTTAAATGACAGGGAATAAAACAGTAAGAAAATAAAAATAAAACAAGTCCCCCTTTTAGACAATATACTGCATGTTTCTGGAGAGTGGCTTCCCATGAAAGTCTGTCACTTCAGTGTGTTTCGACAGATAGCTGCATTATCCCGAGTGAGGTGTAGTCATTAGGGAGAGCAGCGGGGGTCGCTGAAACAGAGAGGTCACGTCGATACCACAATGCTGGGGGGGGGGCAGGGCAAAGTGTGAGGGTGAACAAAACAGAGGCACAGAATAACAACACAACCAGGGAATTAGGCAACACGGATGAGGGGGGGCAAAAGAGCCTGACATTTCGATTTTCGGACTAAAGAGGAGAGGGACGTCCATGACCGCATGACAGAGAGCAGCCCTGCACGAGTCACAGAACCGCTTCCCAGTTCCTGGTCTCTCACATTAAACGGAAAATCCTTCGTGAAAAAATGATAAAACAGACCGTGGTTTTAATCTGCTGCCCCAACCGAAGGTTTCTTACCTTCTTACATGCACACCGTGCCTCATGTAAGCACGAGCACAAATAACATTATTTCTGGGTAGCTATGTCTGTTTGCTCTTATTACATACGCTCGTATTAGCCAGGAAACAAATATTAAATGAGGAAGGAAGGAAGGATAGAAATGGCATAGAAAAAGAGAGGAGAAAGTAGGAATGACCTGCTCTGAAACAGCGGCTGCAAACCACCATATGTCAACCGTGACTAATCAATACTAATGCTCTCGTCTGGAACCATGTCAATAGTAACCCTGTTCAGTCTGGCACCAAAAAAAACTCACCTTGGGTCTAATTGGATTTTGGCACAAAATTAAAACCCTATTTTTAGTGGATTTAGTTTAATAGCTTACGGAGACCGGCACTGACTCAGGAAGGGGGTTAAATAAACTGCCACGAACACGACTACAGGTGACTGAGATCGACGGTCACGCGTTGCCAAGCGCACGGGCAAAATTGGCAGATGAACAGGTGCCACTTTACAATAAGGCTACCCTTATAAAGGGATTATGAATGGTTTATAAGCAGGTTATTAATTAGGTTGTAACACTTTGTAAACCATTACTAGACAATTATAAACAAGTTATACCGCAGTTTTCCTATTATTAATGATTACCGTTTATAAGTGGCAAAGGGAGCCTTATTGTAAAGTGATACCAATGAACAAACAAAAAATTAACGAAAAAGGGCCGAGAGGTTTGATTTCCCTGTGGCCCCATGACGGACTGACCTGCAGCAGCCTCTCCAGCTGGTAGAACTTACAGTGGAGATCCTCAAAGTTGTTCTTGTACAGATCCCGGAGGCCGTACTCAAACATGATCTTCACCAGAATGCAGAAGGCCTGCTCCTCCGGCATCTGGGCAAAAGAGGAGGGTTTAAATCACACAACTGTGGTGTTTCTTTGTGTCCCATGTCCCATGTCCCATGTCCCATGCTTCCCGCTGCAATTACCAGCTACTTCCACCGTGAGGCGAATGTTAATCCTCACAGTGACAGAGTTTTATGTGTGAACTGGAGGAGGCAAGGCGGGGTGTGTGGGTTCGTGGAGCGTGTTGAAGTGTGTGTGTGTGTGTGTGTGACAGACGGGGAGGGAGCAGGTATTTAATCTCATTGACAAGGTGTCTCCTGCACAGGATGGGCTCCTGAAGGTGGACAGGCGTGCTCATTAACATCCCGGACACCTGCAGTGCCGTCTGCATACTGAGAGGCCTCCTGCCACCTCCTGCCTGCCTCCCATTCCCCTTCGTCCTTTTTCTCTTCTCCTCTCGCCCCCCCTTCAGTTTTTCTCGCCTCCTTTCCATCTCTCTTTCCCTCCCGCTTCCCTCCCCATCCTCCTGACGCCCGTCTTCAGTTGACAGGCTTGACAAAGCGAAAGATTATAATTATAACGTAACAGCGCTATACGATTCGCGCACCGTCCACCTCAACATGAAGCTCTGGATTTCACGGGAATGAAATGTGTCACACAGAATGACATGCTTGTCTGATGCAGGATGTTCCCGCTTCATAGCTCCCCCCTCACTGCAGGGGGCAGCGTGCCTGTATCGCTAAGCCGTGAAGAGCCGGACAGACACTCACGTGCAGCAGCAGCACAGCTGCCAGGAAGGACTGACCCTGGCAGTATCCAATCTCCTCGTCATAGACCGAGTAAGCCTAAAACACAGCAACAAAGCAAGATAACGATTAGCAATTAGCAGCTGTCACGGTTCATCCATGCAAAGAACACCACTGTTCTGCATTTCTCTCTCTCTCGCTCTCTCTCTCTCTCTCACACACACACACACAAACACACACGCACACACAGACCTTTGTACTCGTATCTTTGTGGGCACTATCCATTCTATGGTCAAAACCCTAATCCCAGCAATGATAACCTTAACTTCGTAGCCCTAAGCTTAACCATAAGTAACCAAACAAAATAAAAGTCTTTTGGCATTTTTAGGTTTTTGATTGCATTCACAGATTCACGAAAAAATGGTCACAACCACATTGTGGTCATTTTCACAAGGAACTATTATTAAAGTCAAAATGACAGACGTGACAGGCAGCTGCTAGTGGCCAGAAAACACCATGACAAAATTTGGATTCACACCCATCTGTCCTAAAGTAACAGGACACAACACGACCTCAACTCTGACTGCTAACCGGCAGCAAAATAAACAGAGGACATAAAGACGTTTATCACTCTGTGCAGTAAACAGCCTAATATTCTGCATGGGTGTTAGACACCTCACTTATCCTGCCAGCACTGAAACACTAGGCTGAGCCCCTTCTAAATCCCAACCCAAAGAAGTCTTACTTCCCATGACAGATTCATGGCCCAATTAAACCGACACACTATGACTGGACTATGAGGTGGGGGGAGATACGGCATATAAACTGGTTTCAGGGGCATCGTCCTTCTCATCTAACGACCGAGCGGATTTAATTATCTTTGGGAAAGCAAACACCTCCATCCTGGCTTCAGACGCGGGATTTCGCCATTACGGTTCTACAGCGCTCCCGACTCCCGACACCCGACACGGGGCCCAGCCTAATGGCTTTCTGCAGCTCACTCTGCCAGATTTCATTCCACATTAAACGACCTTCCAGCCTAAATTACTCCTCAGAGCATCTCATGTACCGAGGTGGGAATCGGCGTGCACAGCAAATTGCCGGGTTGGCTTTTGTGCACGAAGCGGTTAGGGCTAACCTCTGGCACACATTTGGTTACATTTTAAGAGATAAGCTGGCAAAAATTAAAAATGTTTATAATTCAGCCAGACCTGTACGCCTCAGGTTCAGCTGCCCATACCACACTGCCCAGTTACATGACCTTTCCTCACTGCCCATTGGCTAACTCAGTCTCCAACACATTTGGGCCAAAATCAGCGATCAGTCCCTTTGTATCTTGCTAAAAGTGCTAAACATTTTAAAAATATAAGACAAAATATAAAACTGCCATGATTTCATTTGGTTTGTTAGAACAGTCAAAATAAACTGTACTGCTTCAGTATTGTGTGACTGTTGAATAGTGCTCAGAATAACTACAACCATAGCAAGAACAAAGCAGAGTCTCCAATGGACATGCCAAGTCTTTGGTACATTAAATATAAGCTCACATTAGATATTTTTATACCCAAGTACAAGCTTCCTCTGAGTGCCAGATGAAATCAGTAAGCCCTTTTCCTGTGAGACTCCAGTAGAGGCCTTGGGCCTGCATTTCCCTGCTGACTGTGTCCATTCAGGGTTGGTTTCAGTAACCCCAGATAAGAGGCCGTCTGGGTGCTGATCCCTACCCAGCGGCCAAGGGCAGCACCGCTTAGCACGGCCCACACACGCCACCCTGTTGGCGTTCATCTCTTCACCTTTCAGAGGCTCACATCATTATAAGGGGCAGAGCCTACAGTTACTGCAGTATTTACTTTGTGAATTTTCCTTGTGGTTTGTAATAACAGCAGCGCTCGTGGCCGTGTCAGGCCATTCCGAAGTAGTGTTTCATGCACACGAAGGGCGAGACGTTAGTGGGTTCGTTTACGGACCACGCGGCGGTCTGCTGTCCCAGTAAATCTGTTCTTAATTTCAAGCTAAATGGAAATTCAGCAGAGGCGTCTGTTACACGGACAGATCCCTCTAACAAATTCAGGCCCCGGGCTCTTTTGCCGGCTAGCCAATCAGGAGAGAGCTGCAGCGGCTACGCTCGGGGGGATGCTGGGAGCTGCCGCTGGCACCGCGCCTTTTCTCACCTTACAGATCTTGTACAGGGATTCCTGGCCTTCACCGTCGGAGTCCTTGAAGTAGTCGTGGGCCGGGAAGGTACGATGTACATCGCGTGTGATCACACCCTCCTGCAGGGAGTCCTTAAACAAACAAACCAAACACCAATCAAAAATTCACACTCACACACGCACATATATACACACACATACACACAGAATTAACATCTCCCAGACATTCCTCCCGTACTAAAAATTAGTTTCACAGTATCTATCACACTAATAAAGTCGGCAGTCCCCGAGTGAAGAACGCTCAACTCATGTACCACTTCTACTTAATAACAGGTCACCATATAGTCTATTATACTAAAAACTTCGGTTAAATACGAAGGTTTTTGATCACGATCACAGGCACTACTTTGCGATGCTCGTGAAAACATTGCGCAGCTTCAATGGCTCATCGGCTTGAGGTTCAGTACCGTATGTTACTTTCATTACTACTGTATAATTGGGAACACACCGCCATACTCTGCTGAATGGAGGAAGGCGCCACAAACAATGTAGGCTAGCAGTACACTCTTACTTAATGTATTAATTAATTAAACAGACACTAAGTGTTTGTTACATACTGATCCCAAGTTCATTCATCATTAATCAGCCATAATGGTTCATGTACTTCATGCAGATACTATATTTGATTATGATTTGTACTTGAGTAGTAACTGAGTGGGGCGGCATGGTGGTGCGGTGGTTAGCACAGTTGCCTCACACCTCTGGGACCTGGGTTTGAGTCTCCGCTTGGGTCACATGTGTGTGGAGTTTGCATGTTCTCCCCGTGTCGTCGTGGGGTTTTCTCCGGGTACTCAAGTTTCCCCCCACAGTCCAAAGACATGCTGAGGCTAATTGGGGTTGCTAAATTGCCCGTAGGTGTGAGTGAATGGTGTGTGAGTGTGCCCTGCGATGGGCTGGCCCCCCATCCAGGGTTGTGCCCATTGCTTCCGGGATAGGCTCCGGACCCCCGTGACCCGGTAGGATAAGTGGGTTGGACCATGGATGGATAGTAACTGAGTTAAAAAGTTACCCCTCAAGTAAAGTGTTAACAATAATAATTGTATGGTATCATATACTGCATTATTATTTTTCCAACTTTTCCAACTTAAAGACAGAATTAGGGGAACGGATCTCAGCCGCACCCTGGGGGTTGCCTTTAATAAGCAACATGCTTATACTATCACATCTGCTAATAAACCAGTCACAACACAGGATGTAATATTTTCATTCTAGTACAAATATAGAGTTTATTATTGTATATAAACAATACATTTATTTGAATGACATGAACCTTATGCTTCGGATACTGAAGAATTAAACCTTGATCCCACGTGTGATTTGCCGTGAGTGATCTACACCAATGGTACCCTATTTAGCATGATGTTCCTGGATATTTACGATGGCGCCTACAGCACTGCAGGCCCTCAGCAATCTAAAGGCAAATCCCCAGGCGCAGCATTAGCGTTACTTAAGGAGAAGAACCCTGAGCCAATGTCGGTCTTACGCCTCTAAGCACAAACTCCAGAGCCATACATCACCCGCCGGGTAATTGCTTATCCGTTACAAACCAAGGCCGCTCAGCACTTCCCAAGAAGCGACAGTCTTTAGAAAAATGTGATCGATTTTAGGTAACGTCCCAACTTGATCCCTTTTCCCTGGGCATGCTGAGGGAAGTAAAAAATGCTAACTTTGTGCTGGGGCTCTGTAAACAGCTTTTCGCAAGTTTTGCATCTTGAAAAAACCTTTAGACATAAACAGGGTGAGCACACTTTAAATTTTTAAAAATATTTTTCCCCCTCACAGATTTGTTTGTTTTTCGGTTGAATTGTACAGGTTATAGGTCACATTAAAGGTGGGAAAAGTTTTGAAATAATTTATCATGGTCTAATTTTTTATATCACAAAAACCTGCCATTTTAACAGGAGTGTGTACACTTTTTATATCCACTAGATACTCAAGTACGCAATTATTAGTAAGCATATAAGTTAATTTGTGGCTTGCTATAAACTCAAGCATATTAAAGTTATGTTGAAGTTTTAGTGCACTCTTAAAACTTGTGACTCTGGAGCGATGTGATTTGGCCGGGACACTCGGCAATACCAGCCCATCTATCAACTGTGACATTATCACAGAAATCATCAATCGAGCGACAATGAGGCGGTTTATCAGAACCAGTGAAATCAATTAGAGAAACCTAAACAAAACGGCGAGTTTGGGTCTGCTGAAGGTGAACCAGCCGGAGCTGTACCAGAAAATGCCGACTGCACATCTTAGGTGCTGGAGACACACGTTCTCCACAGTCCAGCACCTCCTCCGAGACAAAGGGAGGGCCAAGAGGCATACTGCAACCTGCAGATAAGGGTCGAACCTTGGGGGGGTGGTGCGGGATGAGGGGACGGGGGGTTTCTGTGCACAGTGACCAGGTAGCCACTCTTTAGCTCATAAGCTGAATGACTAGCAGAAAATGCAGTGAGTTAAAGCTGCTTCAATGCAAACAAAAGCGAATAAATTACAAGTGACTCCATAAAACGCAGCTCAAACGACTGTGGCGCTAACAGCTCAGCCGTTCCGACGCCTTTTATCCACAGAAAGATAACAAAAGGTTTCATTCTACAGCTGACTGCCCATGAGTGGTCGGTTATGAGTTTTCAATGGGGAGCGACTATCAATTAACGGGAGGAACGTGATGAACGAATCGAAGGCAGGAGCCCAACAACGGGACTCAGCCAGTGGGCTAAACAGACACAAAAGAGAATCTCTCTCCGTCTAAAAGCTGAAGACAGCCTCAGCTCACCTGCTAACAGATCATGTGACATTAACAGTACAACAATCCAGTCTGGCAGGCTTCACGACCAGACCTTTGCGCTTTACACCAATACAGTTTCAGCCTGCCATCCTAGGCTGTACATGACGCCTCCCAGTTGTTAGTAACTGTTTTATTAACACATGAGGCCTTCTTGTCCACCTCGATGTTCAGGAACTTTCTATGACTCATTTACAATTATAATTCCGTATACAACATAATTATCTATTGTTAAAGGGATTACACTATGCAATTATATGACTCAAGCTAATACTTTACCACCAGCATTCAACCAAATACAAATTTTATGCGCCCGGAACAATATTCATTTATAGATTTGGTAATGTTTATATTACTGCCCTTTGTGTAGAATAGCATAGATGATGCGATAATTCAAAGACATAGATGCCCCATGGGGATTTGAGTTCAGTTTTAATTAACAGTAGTGTCTCTATACTCTATTTCCAATATGTCATCTCATTTGATCTGGGTACAATTTTAGCAAATATCTAGAGCACTCTAGAGGTTAGTAAAAATCCATTTATTTAAATTTATATTTAAAATTGGAATTAATATGATTTTTTTTGTTACGAGTGAAAATCTGGCAGTTTTCAAAGCACTCAAAATTGGTAGACTATCAAGGTTTTGGAGAGTCATCAGTGAATAACAGCATGAATAGACCAATTGGTCTTCAGCAGGTGTGATGATAGCCTTTCGTTTCAGTAAGAGGAAGCCCACCTACACGGTCAGAGCCTAAACAGAGTTCGAGATTCCAGCCCCTCATCTGGCTCATCACTAACGAACCGTGTCACTCACAGCACGCCGACTTTAATCAAGACACACCGCAGCTTGGGAAAGTGGGCACTTACACGCTCTGTTTCACTTCGCCTCCGAGCGCAACACGTCTTATGAAGGAGGGGGGGAGTGGGCCGCGGATCCACGCCGCACTTCTGGATTCCTACATGCTAACCAGGAAGCTGGTTGGTCCGTGTTGAGCTGGTGGCGAGAACGGTAGCTTTAAACAAATACGACGAGGCGGCCATGTGCCAAACGACCCAGAGAGGATGAAAAAGGATCAGTCAGGTAGATGATGGAGGGCAAAACAGCGGGTTTGGGAACGAGAACCAAAGCTGGTGATAAAAACCGCGTCGAAGCCACCTTTGCCTTCCTCGAAAACGAATGCTCTGTCTCTGACAGCAGAGAATTAGCCCCGTCACTAAAAGACTGCAACCATGGCAACATCAGAGAAGGGGGTTGATGGGGAGCTGCTGTAAATAGTTTGATTAAATTAATGGCCGATGTCGCTGCGAATTAAAAGAGCCATTTGTCAACAAAAGGAAGGAAATGAAGGGGATGTTATTTTGGCCACTTGATCACTTCTTCAGAGAGAAAAGAATCATTAGTTGTGCACCTCTTAGAATATCTGTACATAAGAGAGAAACGATAAGCCTGAACTGTGGTTTCACTCATCAAGATGTATGTCATTTATTTCCCATAACCCAGACCAGCAGCTGGAAGGTGAATAGATGGATGGATGGAATTTCTTCATCTATGTATGCTTGAAATTCCATAGTATGTTATGTTAGTATTTGATATAGCACGTCAAAATAATTCATGGCAAAATTCATCACCCCTCTCTATTACACACACACACACACACACACACACATATATATATATGTGCAACCACATATATATATATATATATATATATATATATATATATATATATATATATATGAGAGAGAGAATTTTCTTATAATGAAAATGTCCTCAGTAAAATTAACACAGTGAAACTATTTATAAAAGTAGAACTTCACTTTCCCTATTTTATTTGACTAAGATGATCTTCACATATTCAGACAAATCTGTAATTTCATGTCTTGCACTTGGTTTTCTCTACAGTTCCACTACCAGTCTGCACTTTCCCGTTTGCGATAAATTCCAGAATGCATCTTGTTTTCCAGTTTAAAAATAAGGCGGCAGATGAAACTGGGATCCTCCGTCTCACACTCTGCCTGCTTCTGTGCCAAAGTGTTTTGAAGGGACCCCCCACTGCAGAGAGATGGCGCTGTAGAGTTTGACCTGCCATGTCAGAAATTGGAAAATATCGTTTTTTGAAAATGCACCGATTCCACGCTATTGGTCCGGAATGTGCTTATGTTTCGTGTCGAGAAAGGAACCGTGGGCCAGAGCACAGCTGGGTGAGTCGGGAGGAGGGACACCACACACAGAGAGTAAGAGACACTGCACAACCCCCAGGCTGCCAGCTAAACGGCAAACATTTGTT